CTTTCCCTGCTGTAGTGCATAGGGGCTGAGCACTTTGTGTTTGCTTTGTGTTTTAACTCTTCCTTTGTGTAGTGTAGCTCACTTGAAATACAGATGGACTCTGCTGTGTGGAATATTGAGAGCAAAACTACAGTCCATCTACAGCAGTGGGTACTGCAGTGTGTGATTTCTGCACCTCAGCTGGGAATTCATAAGGCTGACTTTACAGCACTGCTGCCGTGGAAGGATAAATCAGCTGTACAGGTTAACTGAAGCAAGCTAAGTGATATGCCAACATAATTTCTCTTTTGTATGGCTGACTAACATGCTTGTCAAGGCTGAAGATATCAATGACCTAGTTCTTCTGCTTGAAAAGGATTTACATATGGGAAGGCTGCATAATTTGAGCCCAATTACAGTTTGCTAGACCCATGCTGACCCTAGAGCAGTACCTGCTCTCCGTGCTACTTTTCTAGGTTCTCTTGAAAAATTGTCTCCAAGCAGCTGTTGCCCCTTTTAAGCAGAAGATATCAAAACTCCAGAGTCCTCCTACAGTTGTACAGCCCAAGGGTAGTGTTTCGGTGAACAATTGTAGGGGTTTTCTGGTGGATTGCCAGTGTATTTGAGAAGAGTTTGGAGGTAATTTGCTTTGGTGTAGGCAAGAACTGTAGCATGTGCTTGTGCTGTAGCTTTGCACAACCATGCCTGCTTGGGACTAGGGGATGGAGTAACAGGAAGTCATTTGAGTGAACATGTTGTAGAATCACAAAGGTAGTAAATGGCATCATGTTTGTCCCAGAACTCCTAAGCAGTAAAATAAGAATCAGAGTGCTTTTCTCTTCTTCATACCCGTAGAGACTGAGGTGAGAGAGATGTTTTGGCATTTCATTTTGTTTCTCCTGAATAGACAATTTCTGCAGATGAGAGAAAAACTGTGAAACTGTTGGTGATAAAATGCATTTGGGAATTCTTCCGTGTCCCTGGTAGTGGCTCAGAACCAATCTATGAACCAGAACATAATTGAACAGCTTGCCGTTCAGAACGATTACTCAACAGTCCATCGAATTCTTCTCCTCCAATCCCTTTTAAGAGGTAACGCTTGCCAGTTTGAGAACTGAAAGTCAACTAACTCGTAACAAACTTGGCAGAGGCATCAGGGGGAACTAGCTAAGCCATGAGACCCTTGCCTGGATATATTCTGTAGTCTCTGCACTTTAAAAAAAGAAGCAAGCTGCCTTCCCTCCCAGGAGGAGATGGCGTCTTGAGCTTGAATTTACCACCTTTTTCCTCTTCTGTGACAGGTAGCTTAATCTGAAAGACTAATAGGGAGTGTCGATGGTAAACACCTGATTCAGCAGTGCCTTCCTTCCCCTGCCCCACCCCAGCCTGGTGCATCACTGACAAGTTGCTTATTCCTGAGCTGGAACACTTAACAACAACATCCCTCCTTTTAGCAGCTCAGTTGGTGACTGGTTCCTGACCAGATTACTATCCTTACTCTTGGTTTTAAACACCAGCAGGAATGATTCTGTTCTGGTTCCTCATTTTCTCAAGGAATCTGTAAAAGCCTTGAGCTGTAGGACTGCACAGCTCTACCACAGCACAGATACTTGAGTTTCCACCTGAATGCATTCATCCAATAGTCAGTAGTGATGTGGTATCAGAATGAAACTCTTAGCTGACCAATGTATTGTGTGCAGGGGTAAGCTGCAGTCACTTTCACTGCTGGCGGTGGGTCGTTTCATGAAGTGTTATAAATGCTTGTGTAGATAAGCTTGGCTCTATATAAAGACAGAGCTCTAGACATCAGAGTACGGTGCAGATATTTGGTACGTTACTAAAAAAAAAAAAGCGTAGGAGTGACTATCCCATCATTTGCAGCTTTAAGGTATGGAGCTTACAGGTGTCTGTCAGTTACTGGGTATGGTATTTCATATACTAATAAGCATCACAGGATGGTCTTTTCACATCATTTTATTTGCTTGTAAAGGAATTACATCCAAATCTACGCTGACGGAACCAGGTCAGCACCACAGGAGATGCTTGTTCTGATGCCAAGTGGAACCATTGTTCCCCTTCAAACACAACTAAGGTAAGATACTGTTTTTTCAACATGTAGATTAGGCTGGAATCAGCAAAGAACACTTCCAAATATTAAGCCTGACACTTGACAGGTTACCTCCAAAGATACACAAGCTTGGTGGTGACAATTCCTTCTGAGAAGGTCCCCAAGTCAAAATTAAGCTGTGAAATAAATGATGAGGTCAGAGTGCTGCTGCTAATGGACGGATAACAAACAAGGATGTCTTAATCAGTTTAATGAACCAATTCTAAAATAACTGGCCTGCATATTAATGATGTCCCACTTCCTTATTAATTAGGCAGCACTAAAATAACTGTGTTGATAGCCTGTTAAAAGGCAGAAGAGAATTTGCATGTTACTTCAGGAAGATTTTCCTCTTTCCTTCTCAGCCTGCAGCAGTCCTTTCCAAACCTGAACAAGAACAGGAGGATGCTGTTGTTTACACGTTGAGATTTGCCATTCTTAATTTGCCTGGACATTTTTCAATTGTAATTAGGTAGATATGATGAATGCTAAGTGATAGAATGAGACCACTTACTACAGTAGTGTCCTGAGGTAGCCAGCTTTGATTGAGGAAGTCATGTTAAGTTGCACTGGGACAGTTACGCAACAACGAAGTTGCCCCAGCGCACAGAGCTAATGGAGAGGCCTCTGAATCTTCCAGCACTTGAATTCAGCACCTTGTTCGTTATCACTGTCTGCCTTTTATTTCAGATAGTAGTCAAAATCACTCTTGTGCTCCAGTGAGAGGTGGGATTATAGTAGCTGGGTGAGGGGGGGAGGGTTAATCCTCACTTCTATTTCTTTCACCTCTTGCACTCTACTACACGGATAACCTATGGAAGAAAACAGGAAAATTTAAGAATGAGAAAAAGGGAGGGAGAAGAGACGTGAGACTCGGGAGCGGAAGAGTGAAGGACAATTGGTGGTACCAGAATTTGTTAACTAGGAAGATGACCAGAACTGCAGTTGCTAAACCAAAGGGCGTGTCCACATGTTATGATGGATCCTCTCTCAATCTGCTCCTCTTGCTAGTAATTTCAGAGGAGCTGGAGATGCTTAAGGCTCATAATTGATCTCCAGGGAGAGGAAGCTGTAAGGGGAGAAACAACTTGATCCAGTGAAGCACGCAGCACTGGTGAGTAAAGCTAAAAAGATAAATCTGGACCTGAGGTAAGTGGTGTTTTGCATATGCTTTAACAAAGCATCATGTTTCCATAAATGGGATTCAGAGATGACTCTGAGCACGAGTGCGAATACTGAGGAGGAAACTCATTATGAATATGCTGCTGAAGAGAGGATGCCATCCTTACGAGTTCAGTTAGCTACAGGGGTGTAAGCCACGTACAATTCTACAACAGCCTCACAGAAAAAGCTTGTATCAGGATTGCATGCAATGTGAACTAGACTTGCAGCAAAAATAAATGCTGATAGCCTGAGCCCACTGTAGTTTTATTGGAAAGCTACCATTTAAGTTATAGCAGCCATACCACTTCTTTTAAAGTCATCTGGGAAAGATTTCTGATACGTTATTAAATGTGTTCAGCTTTATATTGATAATCAATTTGTGAGACAGGTCACTTGATTCATAGCAAATGATTTCTTTGGTTTTGGCAACGCACATACCAAAGAAAAAAAGCCCTACATATGTATCTGATCACAAAACTCGCGTCTTTTAAAGAGAATGAGTCCAATGGCGTGACAACAAGAAGTCTGCATGCAATGTACTAGTGTACTTTTAGTGTATATTAAACTTCCTCAGATCTTTTACTAGAGAAGAAAAGTAAAGGTCATGGTTTATAGAACCTTATACTGGGCATTGGTGTTTTTCTTACAATGTAATAGCTTTGCCAAGGATCCTCTGTCAGCAGTTTAAAGAAAGTAATTAAACCTGCCCACAACAGTGCATGAGGAGACAAGTCTTCAGCTGATGAACAGCAGCCTAGCTCTACCAAATTGAACAGAATTCAGGCAATGTACAGCCAAAGCCTGATCTAAGGCTCACTGGATATACTTAGACTCAGCTCTGAGTTTCACCTGATTTTTAACAAATATAGCCAGAATTTTAGGTAGAGAGCTGAAAAACCCCAATATTGCACGTATGTTTTCACATATGGAAATCACAGGGTGGTGATGATGAAATTACAGGCCCGTTTGTGTACAAGGGTTCCACCCCACCCCTTCTTGATGACTCCATGCTGACAAGCTTTTACTCAACGCAGAGATCACAGAACTATTAACTAGTCTTTAAAAATGTAGTTTCAGAAAACTTTATTGACTACTTCTGAATCTGTTAGTGTCAGTGAATTACCTTTTGTATTACCCTACTTTCCACTTTCAAAATACTGTTTCAAACAATGCTTGCAAAAACTACTGCAGTCTGAAAGAGCAAGTACTTTCTATGCAAATACAGTGCTTGTGATTTTGACAAACCTGAAGATAGGAATGCTTAGTCACACCACATATACCACAGGCAAAAGAAAACCAAGCTAAGGCTGTCATGCTGGTAAGCTGTTTGTTGGTCCAAAGGCTCTATCTTTCTATCGTCTTGAACAAAAAAATACATGCATCTCCATGCTATCACTCTGTTATTCCTTCCAAAGTAGATGCTAATTCTAGGCATGTAGCAATTTTGATGGTGATACATTTTTTTTATTAGGCTATCAACATCTTGTGCAAATGACCAGTCTTCATGTATAAATGAGAAAAATCGTATGGGATTCTTAAGCCCAACAATATTATTTTTTTGAATTACCTTATTATATTAATTTCCTAGATACTTTGTATGTCTGCCTTGTGCTATTAACCTTCCTGTTGCCTTGTTTGATAAATCCACGCTGGCAAATGCAATATTTTTTCCTTGCTTCAAAATCTGGGCTGTAATCAGTACCTCTTCTCCAATCTTAGCAGCAGCAGTGTATCTTAACAGAAAAACAAAAGGAACAGTTAGGATCCTATACAGAGCACAAATCTGAGACTATCCCTGCATTTTAGATAAACACAAAAGGAGCTAGCAAAACCACATAAAAACACATCTCTCTAAGAAGTGGGGATTTGTAAGCAGGCAATTAAAGTCCTTAAACTCCTACTAACTACTGCAGTAGTTAGCAGAGGAAGTTGGAGTGTTGTAAGCAGAGAAAGAACCCCATTGCTTTGTTTTGATAAAAGTCCATTTTGGAACAGAAACAATTAGGTATCAAAGACCTCGCTTACAGGTCCTGTTCCAAGTCTCATTCCAACCACTGCTGACTCCATACAGCCCTTCTAAACCAGTCTGGCTGGTTTAACTGCAAATTGTCTCTTGAACGAAGGCTCCAGAAGGTAATTTCTGTGTAGGCACCAATCATAGGTTAACTGTTTCTCATATTTCTCTCATACCCTTCTTAGAGAAAAGTGATGGAGATTTGGGAGGCCTTCATGCTCCCCTGATTTAACTCAGTTTCCACTCATTAGATGACTCTTTTTTATTTACATGAGCGGGTGGGTGTGCTTTTAAAATGCTGTCGCCAGGGAAGGAGAAGAAATTTCACCAAAAGAAGCCTGGAGAGGATCAGGATGAGTGTGATCCAACCATGATCTGAGGTAAGGGAACAATATTCAACTGCTGCAATTACACAGGAGAGCATATAATTATCTCTTCTTGAGATAAATTTCAACCACCAGTCCATTCTATACATGATGCCATTTCAAAAGTAGGTCAGTTGAGTCTAAGGCCAATGTAGTACAACCTCCATTAGTTGACAGGGCACGATTTCAGTCTTGTTTCATTCTGAGAGCCTGGTGCTGATCCTTGTGTGATCAAATAAAAAAAAAAAAACAAAAAACTACTTTGCTTCTCTGTTCTTTCCATTACTGAAATGGCTTCCTCGTGACAACTTTTAAAAAAGCTTTCTTCCTCAACAGGTAAAAGCTGTACTATAGCAGTATTTGACATGCGGTATCACTTGTTCTTGGAAAGCAAGAGTAGTCAGGGTTGAACAAAGCTTTAAGCATTGCTTCAGATGACCTTTCCTAAAGGTTATGCTACTCAGAATCATTTTGGATCACCTCCAGAGAGCCTTTTCTTGAAATTTCAGCCCTTATATAACTGAGGGCGAGAAGAGATGCAATATCAGAATTTCAGGTTTTCCTTTCATTTCAAATCAGTTCCTGGTCATCACAGTGCTAGAAGAAAGCTGGAAGAGATGCTCCAGGCACATGCTATCAGGAGAGAAATCTGCAGGTGCAGGGGAGTATAGATACACAGATCGTGTGTGTGCGCACACGCACACATTTTCAAAGCATGTTTTTTAGTCAATTTTGATGAGGAGTTATTTTTCTCCAATTTTTTTTTAATGCTTAGCATTAGTTTTTCCAAGGAGGAAAACTCTTGTTCCAAGCGGTCTTAATCTCTTCACTAAGAGTTATCAAGCAAAGCTGACAAGCTGTAACAGCATGATCAAAGAAGGTTTCAGAACTTTAGGAAAAAAAGTGCTTTGAAAACAGTTCCTTCTGTAACATAATTTTAATATAAAAGCTATCTTTAAATCACACTAAAGAAGTCTTCCCCCGGTGAGCAATTCTGAATCAATCTGCAATTTACCCTCTGTCTCAGCATAGAACAGAGCTAAAATGTTTATTTTGGTATTTTAAGGACTAATACTAAAAAGAACTTTTTACCCTAGCTTCTTACCCTAGATCTTGTTGCTTGATGATACTCTCTAAAATATCTTCACATGTGAAGAGAGAAGTCGAAACAATTTCATAAGCCTAAACTTTACCACCTTTCAACACCTCTTCTGTGTTCTATGAATGAATGAGTACTGCCAGGTGCTAAACACAAAGCAGTAACAGAATAAAAGCAAGCTCGACTCAGATTTTTTCCACACTACTGGCAATATCCCCAAATGCAACCTCCTCTTAATTTATCAACACAAGTCTTCTGAGACCAAAGGAAAAAAACTTGTTAAGCAAATACTACAGTGTAGAAATGAATTATGCAGGAATCAATACCTTGTTAGGGAAAGAAAAGTTAACGTTTTCTAGCAAGCATGGTGGATACCTACGTGATATTCATGTCCACGCTGACCCCGGGCACTCCTCTTTCTGTGTACAGTAGTGCTGCTGTTGAGACCACATCCACGAGTGTGGCTGTCAAACCTCCATGTAGTGTGCCACCTCTGTTTGTATGCTCCTCCTCTACCTTCAGTTCACAAACAACTTTCCCAGGAGTTGCAGAAAGAAGTTTCATCTGTATAACCAAAAGAGGAATAAAAAGCTTACTGGCCACAGTACCAACTCGAGACTGCCCTGAATGAAGCTGAAAGTAAATCTTGTTTTAATTTTGGACTCATGAGGAAAAAAATTAAAAGATGTAAAACACAAAAAGTTCAACTGTCACATTAGATATTTCCACAAACTTTGAACTGATGGTTCTTGCTTTAGAAACGTGTGAGTTTCTGGCACAGATGAATACTTCTACTGACAGCTTAACTCTCAGGAGCTGCTTAGGAGACAGCATTCTTCATTATTTTTCCTTTTGCTTTAATCCGCGATGGAAAACCCATATAAGAAGGAACACAAAACTGCTTTGACCATCTGTGCATACCATAGTTATGAAGGCATATTTGTTAGCTCACAAAATGAAAACAAGTAAAGAACTGAAGTTCATTAGTCTTTCTAGTAGAGCAACCTCAGTAAAAATCAGTATTTTGAAATGAGCACTGGACATGCTAATCAGACTGGCCTCTCTGTATTGAAATTCTTATTTCTCAGTAGAAGTATCCAATGCTATACCACACTGTATTAAAGCACTATAACTTGTTTGCGTATACGCTTTTACTACAGCCCATAGGTGTAACACAAAAAACGTGCGCTACAAAACCTATGCTACCACACTTCCCTATGTAACCAACCCAAGAAGCTAGATTTTTGAGACCAAAAAGTCATTGCATTGCAGTACGTAAAGTCTTCTACTCAAGTTTCTTCAGTTAGGAGCCCTATATTCAAAATCTGAAAGCAGATGCAAAACTGTGATAAATACAGTATACACGCAGCCCTACAACTTATACTTTGAAGTACCTTTAAACTGTCACAAGGGAAACGCAGGCATAAGATTTATTACAATTCCTACTACGTTTCCTTCTTTTCTTTTTTTTCACCCATAAGGTAAAATTTCCTAGTTTAAATGTTTCCATACTATATCAGAGGGACTGATCTTACAACAAATTAAGACTGAAATTTCTCCAGTTTCACTGTTACTTATTTATAAGGTGGTCTAAGAGCTCAGCTCCAGCCAACATCCCTTTCTGGTAGGCCCAAATTGATCCGAGTTTTGCAGAGAGATCATACTAAGATACCTAAAATACATTGAATACCTAAAGTACATTGATGGAGTACAGAGACCAAATATGAATGGAAAAAAAAACGTGGAATGAAGCAGAAGTGAATCATTGAGGCGGTGTCCAAACATAATATAGCACCGTGATCAATGAACGTCTCAAGCTCTAAGAGACCATGCGGCATGGCACTGGCTGGAGGCCCTACTGTTCTGACCCAATTTGTATCAAGTGCTTCTGACTGATGCTTGACGTTGGGAGCAGATGGCTTCCACTATCTTCGGAGAGTGCTTCAGTCCATCAGCAAGGCCCGGAGAGCATCCAGTGGCGTTTGCCAGCCCTGTGACCTGGGACTGGCTGCCCGCTCCCCTTAGCGACAACAGTTGAACAGCTGAGCGCTCCTGCGACTTACACGGCAGTGACTGCTGGTGGATACTTCTCTTCTCACAGCCCTTCTGTCCCCGTCCTCCCACACGTCTCAGCGAGCAGTATTTTGCTTCGGCTTCCAACTGCTACTGCGAAGCACTACTTCTTTGGGGAACAGGCTTTAAAACGCACAGTAGTTAAGCCCTATGTAGATGCCGCGTTGGAATTAAACCAGAAACTAAGTGTGACGCTGGAGCTCAAAAGCTTCAGATTAAAATTTGTCTTCTTGAGAAAAGCCAAAAGCTCAAGTCGCATTTAGTTATGGTAAGAGCGGCTTGAAGCATCTCCCAGAACTTTAAATACCAACAAAACCGTAGCTTTACTATTGTCATTATTATGTTCCTAGCATCCGACTTCTAGAAGCGGACGGCAAGAACAAGCCAATAGCGGCTCCTCGCGCAACCGAGGCCGGTCTCCCCCGGCTTACTTCCAGCCAATCACCTTTCGGGGCGGAAACGCTGCGTTTCTCCTCCGCTTGCCGGGATTTTGAGGTGAAAAAGAGAGAGCAGTTTTCCACAGCGAGGAGGTGGACGAGGCTCACTCTGATAACAGCTACTTCCTCTTCAATGCAGGGGGTCGCGGCGCCCGCAAGGAGAGCGCTGCCCCGGATCCCAGGCTGGCTCTCTGCTCACGCGCGTCACGCGTGCGCTGGCCCACGGCCGCTTTCCTTAGCCGTTTTCCTCGCGGCGCGCCTCCCCG